CAGTGCTGAGCCAGAACGGGGGCAGGGAACCGGGCAGGGCAGGAAAGCAGCTGCTGGGTGGGAGTCTGGGCTGGCCCTCCCCAGCCAGGGTGAAGAGGCAGGAGGTGCCACAGACACCCGAGAGAAGTCTCTTGGTTCCTGGCCCGAGCTGTGCCAGGGGAGGTCACATCAGGTGCCAGGACCCGTTTCTTTGCTGGAAGGGATGATGGAACCGACTGCCCGGGGAGGTGGTTGAGTCTGGTAGAGTTAGGGGGTGATTGGAGTCCAGGACCTCAAAGGTCTTTCCCAGTGAGAAGGGTTCCGTGATGGTGGCTCCTCTGGGGTGGTTCTTAGATGAGGAACAAGCCCATGTTGTTTGCCTGCCCCTGTCAGCCCTGGGGACAGGCAAGATGTGCTCCCTGGGTGGGTTTTGCAGCAGTGGAGTTTGGATTCACCCACTTCATCCTCTGCTCTTGACTAGATGACAGCCACAGCTCACTAACCTTGGCATATTAGCTCACAGCAGGTCACGGGTGCAGCTCCTGAAGGTCTTGGGAGCTTGAAGATTTTTACATTTGAAGTCTTTCTTCCTGGAGGAAATGGCAGAAGGATGTAACTCATCCTTTGTCTGAGAACTTGGCTTTCTTAGGTACCAGTTTTCATCTACACACAACTAGTGCGCTTCCGAGGACCCTGGCCCAGGTTGCCCAGGGAGGTGGGAGATGCCCCATCCCTGGAAACCCGATTCTAAGTCGGGTTGGATGGGGCTCTGAGCAGCCTGACCTGGTTGCAGGTGTCCCTGCTCCCTGCAGGGAGGTTGGCCCGGGTGACCTTTGAAGGTTCCTCCCAACCCAAACCATTGGCTGAGTCTGTGTTTGCTGTGTGCATCTAGCTGAGATGCTGGTATGGTAGAAGCATAAAGAAGGAGATGCTGAAAAGAAATGCCTTTCCAAGTTATGAGCCTGGGTTTTGTTCCATCATCAGGCTGCTTAGATGTCTTAGACAAGAATTTTTGTTTCCTCGGTGTTCAACTTCCACGTGTTCAGCAATTGTCAGTCATAAGAGCCTTGTGTTGATCTCTTTCTAATTCCTGACCTCTTGTCACTGGTCCCATGGGTCATCATCAGTGTGTCTGTAGGAAAGGAGTCACATCCATAACAAGGTACCGTTTCATCAGCTGCAGATGAGCAGGTGCTCAGTGAAATGAGGGAGGTGAAAAGACAAAGGGGTTTGTGACCTTCAGAGGGTGTTGCAGTCAGAAACAAAGGAGCCGTAGGAGTTGCTCTGCAGCAATGCAGAGCTTGCAGCACTTGACATTTTTCACATCTATCAGCTGTTTTCTTTTGTCCCACTTGTCTGTTTACTCTTTTTATTTCCTTCCCTGGCAGGTGAGTTTGTGGCTACAGAACATGAACAGGAATCAGCTCATCCCACGGTACAAAGAGGCTGCAGTTGGTGCCTTGCGTGAGATGGCAGAAGGCAGTGGGGCCTCAGGCAGGGATCTTTCTTTGCTGATAGAGGACATGAAGGAGAAGGAATCAGCATATAAAACAGAAGGTGGGTTTGAAACTGCAATTCTCAGCTGGAATATTGCCTGGGTAGCCAGGGCAGCAAGCCTAGAGCTGACTGAAGAGTCTGAGCTGGCTAATCCACAGTTCAGGAAAGGGCTGGAGGAGTCTGGAGCAGCAGCGAGGTGATTCAGTTGTGCTGGAGCTGCCAGTGAGTGTTTGAGGATGTGGGATTTTGTGGAGTAAGTGAGGGGTTCAGGGGACCATGAGCCTTTTGTAACATACATGTTAAAAGAAGAGTGATATAAAAAATTACTCTGTTGCCTTGTTTCTGTTTTCCAGCTAAATCTCTACAGGGGGTTCTGACGGAACGCCTGGGCCTTTCCCTCTCTAGTCTGTCCAAAGAAGCCACCAACTGTCTGGATGTCCTGGTGAGCAGTGCGATGGCACTTGAAACCAAGGACACTTCTCTTACCAGGTAATTTTTCCTGCAGTGCATCAGGGGGGATGGTCTGTGCTCCTTCCCTCTGGTTTTTCATTCAACAGTTTCAACCTCGCATTTCCCAGCTTCTCTTGCAGGCTTGGAGCAGCTTTGGAGAGCCCAGGAGCTGAGAGAGCACAAAGCTTTAGCTCTTGGTTATCCCAGTGTGCCAGCTTTGGCTGGGATGGAGCCAACTTCCTTCTGGAGTTGTGCTGTGTTTGGGGTTTAACGTGGGATTTGATAGGAAGGGATGTTGCTGAACCACTGATGGGTTTAGTTGTTGGTAAGAAAGCAAGGGCTTTCCACTTCCCATGCTTTCCTCCTGTGCAGGCCCACGGGAAGCTGGGAGGGAGCACAGCCAGAGCAAAAGGTCCAGACTGGCCAATGGAATATTCCGTATCAGTCTGTGTCAGGCTCAGTATGTAGCTGGGAGCTGGAGGGGGAGTTTTCCTCTCTCTCTGGATTGCAGTTTGAGGGCTTCTCCTGCAGGATCACAAGCCTGGGAGGGGCTGGGCAGGGGTCAGCAGGGGGTGAGCAAGTGCACTGCACATCACCTGTTTGTGTGTTCTAGTAGAGTAAGACTTACTGCTCTTACTGCTTTATTTCAGTGATGAGATGGATTTTCTCTCCTGAGTCTCTTGCAGATTGTCTCCTCTCTCCTGGGGGGCAGAGAGAGAGTGAGTGGATCAGCAGCTGCTTGGTATTTAGCCACCTGTTGGCTCAAACCACGACATCCAGCAGGGAAGTCTCTGAAGCCTGAGAACTGTGTTGGCCAGAGCTAAATCCCCTTTTTTTGGCTGTGCTTTTGCAGGCAGTGGCTGCAGGATGTTGCCTCTCAGACTGTTGTGCCAGGTCACACAGTCTGCAGCAGGTTTCATACTGCTTAGGCAAGGGCTGGGGAATTGTAACTGGACTTGAAGCAGCAGCTCCTCTTTCTTCCTTCTCTTTTCTGGCCTCAGTGAACCTAAGGAATTTTCCTTGACCACAGAGAACTAGCAGCTGATACTCTGTTCTTCCTGGGCCCCTCTCCCCAGCCTGGCCTTAAACCAGCAGGTTGGTGCTGAGCATTGGCAGGAAGGAAGGAGCACAGTTTGTCTTGGAACCTAGTTGTTGTTTGCTGCTCAGGGCCGTGACACTCTTAGAGCTCTTCTGAGTTGGAAGGGCAAGCAGCTTTGAGCCATGTGGGAAGAGGAAGAGACTGAAATACTGCTGCTCATGCCCTGGGGACCTGCATTTTCCGGGACTGAGTCCAGCCAGATGCAATGTTGGTTAGTTAAAAGAAAGCATTTGTGCAAGGTATGGAGATCGTAACACTGATTCTTCTGAGTGTCTGAAGAACTGACTCCTGAGCCTTGCCCCTTGCACCTGTCCTTTCACCAGCTTCTTCTGTGCCATCAATGATATGACTTCAGAGCTGTATGCAACAGAAGCAAAAAACAAGAAAATGGAAGCTGAAGTGACCAAGATGAGGGCAAAACTAACTGCGGCGCTGCTGCTGGAGGAGCGTTTAAAGGGGTGAGTAATGGCTGGGAAAGGGAAGGCTGCAGGAAGTACCTGTGGTACCTGCAGCCTGGAATGTTGGTTGTGGTGACTAACCAGGATAAGCCAGTGCTCAGGGGTGTGACACATCTCTCCTACACGAAATGAGGAAGCAGCTGTTAACACCCAGGTGCTCTGGACAAGCAGCAGTCCCAGGAGGCTTGGGGGAGCATCAAAGCCATTGTTTTAAAGCAGACGTGGCCTCCAAGCAGCTTTCAGATAGGGGCTGGCATCAGCCACCGCTTGCCTTTGTCTGAAGTTCAAGGCAAACCTGGTTTTATCACCACACATAGCATGGGCTGTGTAGTCAGAGTGAAGGAACCAGGCAAAACAGAAACCATTGCCAGGTAAGAATTTCCTTGAACCAGCAGCGTGTGGGAGACTTGGGAAAACCAGAACAACTTTGGTCTCAAGGCAGCTCCCAAGAGGATGTGACGTGAAGTGCTTGGCCAAGCACAGCAGCCTCAGCCCCTGCCTTGGTTGGGGATTGGCCCAGATGCTCTCCTGGTGGGCAAGGTCCCAGCCTGGGTGCTTTCTGTAGCTTGGCCAGGGCCCCTGGCTCTGCTCTGAAGCTTGGCTGGCACAGCAGCTCTCTGTTGGAGTTAGGAGATGTGCAGAGGACTGTCACTCTGTGCTTTCCTGCAGATGGCTGCAGCCCTGCCCTTTGTCTTCCTTTCTTGCCTGGCCTTTGGGGGTCTGGGTGTCAGAGCTGTGGGTGTTTCCACTGGGAAGTCTCCCAGGGCAATGCAAGTGTTTCTCCACTCTCCCCCTTCTGGTGTTGGTTATGTTGCCTGGTAAGGTAGCAGTATTTGTGTTCTGGGATCTCTTGGAATGTCAAGTTAGTTTCTTTTTGTATCTCTCTTTTTTTAAGGGATATAACGAAAACGGAAGAACACCTGGACACAGAAGAAGTCAAAGCTGACCTCCGGGAGCATAACTTGGACTTCTTGAGCAGGAAATCTGTGGATATTGACAGCAGGATCAGGGCTACTGAGGTGGGTGGAAGGAATGTTCTGAGAAGATGTTGTGAGGGGACTGCACTGTCATGACTGGTTGGGCCCAATCGTGTAGTTTCAGGGACATCCCAGGAGCTTCCTAAACTGGGGGACTGCTGGGCTGACAGGACTTGCTGTCTAAGAGGACAATTTGTTCCTCCCCTGGAGTTGTTCCTGTTACGTTCCTGATCTCTCCCCAGGACATCCTGTGATAGTGCAAAGACATTGTACTTTCTTTCCCTGAGAACTGTAGTAGCTTGGACTCCCTTGTGCTTCTGGTGAGGTCCTGTCATAGAAGAGTGTTCAGACAGCACCAGCAGAGCAGCTGGTCCACACTGAGGTGCTTTTGTGAGTCAGAATCCAGAACAGGGCATTGATTTGAAATTTAGGAAGCACACAAACACAAAAGCCCAAAGCTGTGGTGTCTTCTCCTTCCCCTTGCTACCTGCTGAAGGGCATGTGAATGGTTTCATTAACACGTGCCTGCTGCCCAGGACCTTCACAAGATGCAAACGTGGCAGCACGGCTGGCAAGGCTGGACTGAGAAGCATCTTCCCAGCATTGCCTTGTGCTTTTCTGCCACTAGTTCTGGATGCCAATTTTAGCAGCAACTGACTTCATCTACCTGCAGTAGCTGTGGTTCCAATGGCAGATGTTCCTGTGGTTGCCAAACTCCATTCTTGTGTGCCTGTTGAGGCCCAAAACCAAGGAAAGGGCCAGACCTTCCTCCTCCCTCTGAAATGGTGTGGTCAGTTCTGAACCAGCTCTCTCCTGTGTGCAGGAGCAGATCACTGCTACGGGATTGGACCAGTCGCTGACGCATGAGGCCCTCATGAACCTGTCTGAGGTAGGTCTTCTGGCACCAGAGGGATGCTTCTGCAGGGGCACAGACCAGGCTGCTTTGCTGGGTGGTTGCAGGAAATGCAGTTTGCTCTGTGGTTACCTGAGCCAGTGTCAGTGGTGAAAAGCAGCATAAGTAAAAATCCAACAGATAGATACCTCTGAGCTGGTGTGTTGGATGGCTTTGTCCCCTCTGGAAACTGAGAAGCATCTGTGGGTGCTGAGGTGGTGCCTCTTCTTCAGGGTTAAACGTGGGCATCTCTTGGACTTGGAAGCAAGGTTTCCTTCTGGACTGATGGAGGAGAACAATTGGAATCTTTATTTTGTTTGCCTTTTGTTCTTCCCTCTCTTCTTTTTCTGCCTCTGCCTGTAATTGGTTATATGCTGAGAATTGCCATGGGATCAGTTCTGTGCCACTGACAGAAAAGTGGCAGCCCGTGCTCTGCCTCCTCCCTCTGGGATCTGGGCTCTGCAGCCCTGGCTGAGCTGTGGGCTGTGTCCTGCTCCATGGCTGCCTGTGTGTGGCAGTAGTGGGAGGGGATGGCCCAGGCGATTCCCTCTAGTTGGTGTGAAAGACTCTTCTGAGCAAAGGGAGGAAGTCTAGTGAAGCCCAAATGCTGAGCCACCAAAGGCTACTTGTTTTATGTCGTGTCTTTACACAGAGCATTGTTGGCTGTATTATAAGCCCAGCAGGAAAATCTGTTAAAAGAAAAGGCCCCTTTCTTGAGCTGCAAGATACAGATTCTCCAGCTTTGTGCTGAAGCATGTGCACACATGGAACATTCCTTTGTGGTGTTCCCCCTGCACTCACCTCTTTTCAGTCTGATTTGCTGTTCCTGTGTTGAGAGCTGAATCTTTCTCCCCAGGTGCTTTTCTGGCTTTTCCTGCCTGTTAGTTTAACTGCAGAGTGACAAGAGGCTTCTGGTGTTTCTGTTGTCGATCTGCTGAACGGGCACTGGGTGGCGAAGTTTCCACCGCGCAGCTTTTCAGAAGAGAGCTGAGCCAGAGGAATTCCTGCTGGGATTTTACATACACAAAACCATAGGCAATTTCCTGGGCCTCTTGTCTTGCAGGAGCTGAGCATGAGGGCAGGTTGACTTGCTGATATTTCTGTATCTGCTTTGCCAGGAGCTCACTGAATTGGGCAGCAGAAATTCCTTTCTCTTTGGAGGGAGGGGCTTTTGGTCTTTTTCCTTCAAGTTGATGATTGGAAGAGAATTGAGGGCTGTGGAAGGTGCTCAATTTTCAGCCCCCAAGACAAACGACTCCCCCTTGTTAACAGGAGAAGCAAAGCAGGACAAGTGTCAGAGGAGTCTTTGCTGCCAGGTGTGCAAAACTTCTCACACAGAAGCTGTAGGCATGAGAGTGTGTTCCTTTCCTTGGGCTCAGTTCTCTGGCCTCCAGGGAGACTGACAGTGCAAGTCCCCTGGAGAATTCTCATTTGAAGGCCCCTCTCCTTACAGGGAGGTGAGGTCAGGTGGTTCAACTGCATGAAAAGGAGTCTGAAGATGTCTTCAGACCCATGAAAAATTAATTGATGCCTCTGTGTCAAAATAACTGGCTGATAAGTGGAGGAAAAGCAAGTCTTGAGTTTCCCTTGGGTTTTAAGAAGGCTCATGAGAGCTCTGAGCAATGTTTGTGAATTCTGAAATGCTGTAGGTAATTGTGGATCTCTTGAACTGATTGACTTGCCTTCCACAAGTAAATCTGTAGAATATAATCTGCCTTGTTGTCTTCACAGAAAGTGGCTGGACTGCAGCAAGAAACTGCCTCTTTGCAGAAGAAACTGGAGTCTTACCTCAGTTTACCTCCTGTAATTATTTTTTCCACTGTTCTAATGTATTTGCCATCAGATGAATTTGAACAGACTTGAGCATGTCAAAGCTATTGTTGTGATGGTTTCAGTGGACAGGTAGATGTCCTTCAGGTCTTCATGGTGTGAGCAGGAGGCTGCACATGTTGATTAATCAGAGCCAGGCAATAAATAAGTATGTTTGCCAGGCAAACTGTGTTTAAACAACGTGCATAGAGTGACTGGGTGAGCTCAGTGTGAAGGTGAGTTAGCCTGGAATTAGACAAGGGAACGTGGAATCAAGTATAGTTCCTGAGTATAACAACTGACTTTGAGACTTAGCAGTTTCTTGGCTTGACATGTCCTCAGGCTGTCAATGTGGTGTCAACCTTGTGCAGAGTTTAGAGCTTGAAGCTAGATTGTGATGACTATGACACAGCAGCCAAAGGTAGGGGTTGTCCCCTAAAACTAGTGCTTGAGCTTGTGTGAGCACTGGCTGCTCCACCAGTCTCTTGGATTTCTCCTGTGGGTGCTTAGTACTCACCTTGGATGTGTTTCAAGGCCAGGCCTTTGATTGGGAGGTTTGGAACGTTGCTAAAAATGGAGGGTTTTTTAGGCTTTAGGCCATGCCAGACTTTTGGAAAATGATGCCCAGACCAAGCTGGTCCCAGGCTTTGGATGTCAGTACCTTTGGCATGTGAAGAGTGTGCACAGAACTGATTTTGTTCTCCCCACATTCCCCTGCTGCACATCATCAGAGCCTTGCAGTGATGCAGGGACCCTGTTTCCAGCTGAAACACTGATTTTTATGCCATTTTCTCTCCTTAGAGTCTCTCCCTTGCACGAGTCAAGATTGAAGAAGTGAAACGAGAGCTGGTAAGCCTTTGTTTTTCATCTTTCACAGAGATTGACATGAGTGCTGTCGTTCCAAAACAAGCTGTATATGTTATTGGTTGGGAGTGGATCTTCCTCAGATCTGCGTGATCTGCAGAGGGAAACTCAGCTTTAGTGAGGGAGAAGCTGTGTGTGGGTGAGAGGAACTGCTGGAGGAATGATACCTGAGCTACCAAGGCCGTTGGATGTGCTGGGGTCAGTGGGGATTAGGTGTCTGGATCCCTCTGGATTTTGTCTGCTTCCCCTGCCAGGGTGTTGATTCCCTCAGCTGTGTTGCAGCTTCGTGGTCTGTCCCCCTTCCTTGCTGCTCCTGAGCTCTAAGGGCTCTAGGGCCCATGTTCCATGGTGTAGCTGCCTTGTGGGCTGCAATGAGGACCCTCCCCTCTCAAGCCTCGTGCCCGTTTCATCCGTGCTTGTGCCACCTGCAGGGATGGGTGTTGTTGAACAGCCATGTCCAGCTGTTTTGGAAGTTCCTACGCAGCTGTCCTGAGCGAGCTGGGCCACATCTGAGCACAAAGCCTGCCTTGGTTTCTTTAGGCCACCATCTTCTGGCCCACAGGGAAAGCACAGGGTGTCTGTGATGAGCCTGAGAGCTGAGATCAGAAACCACAGCTCTCTGAGAGGGTTTGGAATGATTCCAGATGTGACTGCTCAGGTTGGTTAAACCACTGGGTTTTGATTCAGAAAGACGAGTTGACCTCACCAGCCTGAGCCTTTGATCAGCCCAGAAGCCTCAGCTCTTGAGAGTCCCTGCTCAGCTGGAGGTGTCTGATACCACCCTGGGGCACAGCATAATGGCAGCTGAGCTTGTTCAGCCCTTTCTTTGGATGTTTCTCTGCAGCTGTCTACAGAGACTGCTGCTGTTTGCAGCACTGACAGCTTCCAGTTCAGTACTTGGGCTAATCAGTAGTGATAAGATCCCAAGATCTGATCATCTGAGCCATGTTTGTCTAACAAGGATGTAAGAAAACTGTTTCATGGTCACTGATTCCTCTTGTGTTTTCCTTCTGCTAGAACGTTGTGGAGGCAGAGTTGTCAAAGGAGATTGAGAACCTGGATCTCTGAGATGCTCCTCAAGTAGCAGTCCACCTGAACTGGCCTGTGTGGAAGATTTGCTTTTCTCTTCATTTGCACTGGGGAAGCACTTTGGACTTGCTTCTGTACCAGCAGCTTTCTGCCTTACTCTCCTTGCTGTTGGGTGGTGCACTCGAGGCCTTCCAGCAAGCATGCTCAAGCCTACAGTTTTTGGAGCCTTGTATTTGTAAATATCACCTATTTTTCATTAAATATCCCACTAATTTCCTGCTTTCTTTGTCAGTTATTTTTCCAGATGTGATGGACACTTGTAATTGGCCTCTAGGGGAGGTGCCAGGGGGAAATTTAAATTGGGTATTAGAAGAAACTAATACCCTTCACTGAAAGGGTAATTAAACACTGGAATTGGCTCCTGTGCAGGTTTGGTTTGGGTTTGTTTTGGCAGTTTTTTTAGTAGTGGGGGCAGGGCCCCAGAGGTGGCTGCAGTAAAAGCTAGGAAATTGCCCCTGCTCCAAACCCAGCCGAGGAGCCTTTAGAGGGACAATAGATTAATCTCTGATTAACATATAAAACAACTGAGATGAGAGCTGAGCAGGAGAGGTGAAAGGCAGAGCTGGGGTGAAGATCCCAGGTGGTTGGTGAGGAAGGAGGGGAAGAAGGTGCCCAAGCAGAAGTTTCCCTGCAACCCATGGCAAGATGGCAGCTGTGCCCCTGCATCCATGGAGGAACGTGGTGGAACATTCCCTGAAGGCACCAGGAGGGGTGAACTTAGATTTTCTGCAGTGGACTTGGATCATGCAGCTTTGGAAGACCCTAGTGCCAGGGGAGTTTGTTCCCAAAGCCCCAGTGACTCTGTGGGAAGCCCAGGCTGGAGCAGCTCCAGGTCTGGTGGGAAGGACTCATGAAGGAGAGGTTCATGGAGGACTCTCTCCCATGGGAGGGACCCCATGGGGAAGCGAGGAAGGATTGTGAGGACTCTTTCTTCCTGAGGAGGAAGGAGCAGCAGGAACCACCAGCCTGTGAACTGACTCTAGTCCCCATCCCCCTGTGCCACTGGGGGGAAAGAGGGAGAGAAACCAGGAACAAAATGTTAATGATAATGATTTAGCCTGGTGTACCTGTCCACAGGAGCTGCTACTTCACTGCAGAAATTTATTTCAGTGATCTGCAAGAAGACAGATCCTTTCTATTGCTTCACGTCCCCTCTTGCAGTAACAGGATCATGAGGTCTGATTATGTTTAGGGTGTAACTGTTTTCTAAGACGCTGCAGGGTCAGGGCGTTAGTGAAGTGCCTCCCTTGTCCAGTTTCTTTCACTGTGGTGGGGAAGAGCTGAAGGATGTTCAGAGAGCCACTGCTCGTGGGAATCTGTTTCATCTTCCATACCTTGGAGCGAGTTGCTGTTTAATTTCAGGTTTTTAAATCAAGAAGTTAGGGAAGGGTTAGTTTCCTTCATTTCATGACTCTTGATGTTTGATTTTTTTCTGGGCTAGAAATCAAGATCATGAGCAAGGGGACAAACCATCTTTTGAACACGTGGGCTAAGCTGGCTAAGGGGAAATCACCTGCAAGGTAACTGATGTGAAATCCCTAGCTAGTGCAGGGATGAGTGCAGGTGCAGCTACTGCTCACCAAAAAAAACCCAAACCCAACAATGAACCAAACAATCCCCAAAACACCCCAAACAAACACAAAAAAGCAACAACCAAAAGAAGGCAAGGGAGGAGTCTGAATCTGGAAAAAGCAAGAGCATGATGTGATGTTTCCAGCTGTGGAAGGGCTACAAAGTCATAGTCTTGAAAGGCATCAGAACATAGCTGGGTAGTCAGCAGAGAGTGATGTAAGAAGAAAGCCATTGTCAGGAACTAGAGGTCACAGCCCAACAATTGAGGAATCTTAGTCACTGGAGGCTTTTAAGGGCAGATCAGAATGCTTTGCTTAAGTGTTTATACTTGCTTTAAGTGTTTAAGGGACATTGACTGTGCTTTGGGATAGCAATATGGATTTGATGAAGGCTCAGAGGGTGCCACCAGCTCTGCCTTTCAGTTAGAGCCTCAAGACTGACCCAGCTAACATCAGATGAAGAAAGCTTTTTATGGCTCACCCTGACTCAAGGCTCAAGGAGGATCTCCTGAGGCTGTGGCACTCCCTGAGCACCACTTCATCACATATCGCTGCATCAGCTGGCAAATGTGGGGGCTGTTCTGCCCCTGTAGCCCCAGGGCAGCTGTGCTGCTCCTCAGCTGCTGCTGTTGCACAGCATGCTCTGTGTCCCACCCATACAGACAGGGGCAGACCGACTCAGAAGCTGTCCAAAGACAGCCACGTGTTGGTTCCTAACATTTGGAAACAAGGAACAAAAAAGAGCCAGCAGCTGCATTCGAGCTGTGTGCCACAGCTGAGCCATCTGCAGCACGTGCAGCATAACTCAGTGGCCTTGCAGTTCAGCTTTGGTTGGGAACAAGGAAAGGCAAATAAACGAGATTTATGCAGGCCCTGGACTGTCAGTAAGATTTCTCAGCTCTTTAAGAGGGCAGCTGGAGTTGTCCTCCCTGGCTGCTGGTGTGTGGAGCAGCCCAGCTCTCCCAGCGTGAGGATGGGATGCCCCGCAGAGGTCCTGCCCAGACAGAAGCACACCAGCCTGAATGCTTGGCTAATAACATGTGTGATTTGGGGCTAAGAACATGTGTGATTTGGAGCTCCACCCACTGAGTGTTTCCACGGAGGTCTCAATGCATTGGTGAGGAGCTGTGGCAGCCTGCAAGGGGGGCTGCCAGCTGGACCCCTCGGTCAAAAACAATCACCCACCTGGGAATGACACACGTGCCTGGAGATGCTGCTGCAGCTTTGCTCCAGGTTACACCAGCTGCTCCATGCTGAACTCCCAGCCTGTTGCTTGGAGATACACATCTACCAGCACCTTGCAAGCTGGGAGCAGTTGTGCTCACTGGGAGCTCTGCATGGGGCTCCTGCAGCTCCAGAGCATCTGCCCAGGGTGTGGGATGCTCTAGGGCTGGAGCTGGAGCAGGGCTGTGCTGCAGATCCCCTGGTTTTACAAAGTGCAGAAGATGTAGAGGCTTCATCACCTACCTCCTGGAGGATCCAGACTCTACCTGAGTTAAAATAAATAGATAGATAGATAGATAGATAGATAGATAGACAGACAGACAGACAGACAGATAGATAGATAGATAGATAGATAGATAGATAGATAGATAGATAGATAGATAGATAGATAATCATGCACTTGATGTGTAAACCAATGGTCAGCTCAAGTGTAAACTTGCACATGTTTTACTACACAGTGACACACTGTCCCTTTCAGGCCAATATGCAAAACTGCTCCAGGAGAAAATAAAATAAAAATCAGAATTTGCACCTACATGAGCTAGGGCCTAGAGATTTATTTAAAATAAAACATTTAGGTCCTAAAACCACAATCATAACAATAGTAAATGCTCAAGAAATGCAAAATACATGAGAAAAACGTAAGGCTACTGAGTTGAAACACTTAGAGATTTACTCAAAATGCCTTGGATGAAAAGATAGGGATGGATCCTCTTTTGGCTATATATTTCAGCTAGTAATATAAAAATACTCCATTTATTTTAAACATTTAATTGTGGTTGCTTTTCATTCTCCCTTTAAAAGCATTCTGAATTATCTTCCATTCATATAAATCCTTCAGTAGATACTGAACATTAAGATGGGACTTCATAGTTCAATACAATTTTTAAAAATACTTAAATAGTTTGAAGATTTACTTTTAAAGTAAGTTGGTTGCATGTAGTACCATCTCCAGTTAAACGCTCCAAATATTCTTACGATACTCAATTCTGTTTTGGGTACTTACAAGCAAGAAATGTGACCCGTCAAATTTTAAGTGCACTTGAGATTTTTTTAAATTTCATCTAGTACTGAATAGGTCTTACAGGTCTGGGAATGATTTTGTATTTCTGAGATATTATTTGAACGATTAAAATACAGGATCAGTAGTGAAACAAGAGTGATCTTGGTCCACGTGGCCTTGCATGCTGCAGGAAATCCTTCACTTTGTCCCTGACTATGCAGTTAGTAACTTCAAGCAGCTTTAGATAGATTTTTCACTTTCTTATCCACTCAAATATCAGTATCAGACTGAAAGAATTTCTCCCATTCAGAAATACTTCTGTGCAAAAAAACCCCCAAACAATAATAAAAAAAAAGCCACAAGGGAGTAAGCAGACACTTCACTGTGCTGTGTTTAAAGTACAACTTGTGGTTCCTCCTCTCTCTGCTGGGTGCCACCCGGTATGTGGGAGGATACAGCACTGCCTCCAAGCTATTCAGCATCACATTGTCCTTCCTGAGCTCTGTAATCTCTGGTGCAAAAAAAAAAACAACAACCAAAAACCAAACAACCCAACACCTCATCTAATACCTGTCTCCTCTAGGCCCTTGCTAGTGCTGTGTTTGATACTAGCCAATATTAGCTGGTGAAACCCGGTAGCAAGGAAAAGGTGTCATCTCTCTTCCTGCCCCAGGAAGGGGCTGTAGCTCAGGGGTGGGATAAACCACGGGTGTCCCAGGCACCCTTCTCCTGGTCCCCAGCAGCCCGTGCTGGTGGCTGCAGAGGAGCCCGGGTGACTTGGTTTCAGGGGGCAGGTGCACAGCGTGGGGAGGGCTTGGCTGGGTTTCAGCAGCACACTTGTGATTTCAGACGCTTGGCAGCCCAGCTTGGGAAACGGGAGGTGTTTAAATGTTACTCGGAAGGTGAAGTTTCTATGTATTGCTCCTGCAGAAGGATGCTTAGCCATGGTGCCTATGGAGGCTGCTGTCAGGAGCAGGGGGACTAGCTCCTGGGAAAGTCATTCTCCCAGTCTGGAGCTGGAGGGAGACTTTTACCCTCGGGCTGGTTGTGAGGTGATAGCTAGGATGGAGGAGCTCTGCTCCCCCTCCCAAGACCCAGGCTGGGGAAGCCAAAGTGGCCTCACAACCAGCTTTTCCTCTGACACAGAAACACGACTCAAGGTTGCTCCTGCCCTCTGCTCC